GAAGCACAGAGATTCTGTATTCATCTCATTTGTTAACTGCCTTCAAACAGCTCTTTAGACTGTTGCTTCTGAGTCTGGCCATTCATCATTAAATGAATGTTATCCAAATTTTGGTCAAAAATAGGATGAATTACAAGCATTTCAGTTTCAATTTCAGTCTCTGTTTGTTTTTCTCCAAGCTACATAATTGAGCTGCCATTTCTAAATCACTGTTCCTAGCTTCTTGTCGCTTAACATCTCCAGCATTTCAAGCAGATTAATCTTGAATCCTTTATTGTGCAACTACATTTCAAATGGAAATAGCATCAATTCCTAGATGTTATGAATCTCATCTTTGTACCACATATGGACGGTATTATTAGCACTTACAAAACGCAAGCAAGAATGAGCGCTAAGTCACACGGGGTCGGTATGTATGGGAATGGAAGGTGTCTTGTTCTGCACCATGTCTGTTGATAAGTGCATATCCACCTAGCAGAAAACTGGGTTGTGATGCTGCTAACAATCTGCTGTGTCAGTTACTGGATTTCCTTTGAGATGTAGAGGACTTCTGTTTGACTTCTTCCAGTTCCTCTGACCATTACCTGCTTTGTTATTCAAATGAACTTCATTCGGATGGGAGGCTGTGCTTAGTATATGGATGAGTTACAGTAAAATTCAGCCTGGCTGTTTGAAAAGTGTGCATCAAGATGGAATGTATGCACATAGCATCCACAGGCTGCTCAGTAATTTAGGGAAGTCTTAGATAAAGCAAAACAAAACAAAAAACAAACATGGTATGTCAGTACCAAATTCTGAACTTTGACTTGTTTCGGGACTTAGGTTTCAAAAAATTTTAAGCTATTTTTCCATAGTTTCCTGTCTGTTAACACAAGTAGGCTGTTGAAAAGAAAACAATTCAGTGTTATCTGTACGTTCTGCATGAGACAGTATATTCTTGGAAATGAAGCTGAACTCATGAAGGGACAGAGACACAGAGACTTAGAATGACTCCTCAGGACCAGCCTGTCTATCTCAGGTATGAGAAACACACAGCAAAACTGGATCAGGGACTGAATTTTATAAAGTGGCTGCTTTGAGCAGGGAAAGCTATCATCTGTAGATATGTGAAGATGATATTATGAAGGCAAAGAAGGCAGAAGGTCTGATGTGGACCATAAACTTGACTTGCAGAAAGGGAGGGAACAGGTGAAAAGTGTTGTGAAACCTTAAGGACAGCCCCAAAACATTAAAAGCTGCTTTGGTATAGAAAATACTTGGCCAGATTTGTGTTTCTTGCATTCCTGCAACGCTCTCTGTGAAGAAGTTAGTCATGTGGTAGACTGAACAGAGGGCTGTGGGGTCTTCCCCTCCCTGTCTCCCCAGGGTATGGAAAGGTCTGCCACAGAGTATAAGAAGCCCTGGAGATAAGAGTTGTGTCTCACTACTGCACTGCAGAGGTGAGCGGAGGAGCAGGGCAGCCTCTCACTTGGCTACGGCTTAGGCGCGGCGCTTCCCACAGCAGTCCCGCCCCCAGTACCGCGCCACGGGGCGCCGGGTGCCGGTGTGCCTGTGGAGGGCGGCAGGGGGCGCTGCTGCGGCTCAGCCCAGTCGGCGGGGGGGCCGCCATTTCTACGACCGCCCAATCTGTGTTACCCTTAGCGTGTGTTTCGCTGCAAAGGTACTTGCAAGTGCCTTATGTTAATGTCTTTTCCTTTTTCCTTGTTTCTCTCCTGAGAATTATCTTCTGCTGTTCTAGTATTAAATGTCTAAAATGTCAGCTAGCTAGTCACTGATTAAAATGGGAATGACTCTTTCAGGTACATTTTAGGATAAAGTTTATTTCAGTGCCACTGCTGGAAGTGAATTAGCAGTAAGAAATGTGTATGTCAGAGCAGCTCAAATTATTCGGAAGGAGGAGAGTATTTGAGAAGTCACATTTTAATTAGCTTTGGTTTCTGCAGCTTGCTTTGCTTGAAAACACTGTCTTGAAAAGTGCTGCTTTAGAATGACTCTCAATTTTTATTTCTATGCACTCTGTGGACTTGAATTATAAGAGGATGCAGAAACAGACAAAAAAATCAGTGGCTGGGCTTCCCACTATGGCTACTTCAGCAAAGCAAAATGAATGCACTTCATGTAATAATCTGCAGTAATTTTTGGTGTGTTAGTTTACTCTTCTCAGGACAGTTTAAATGCAACAATTAGCTGGTGTCACTATGTTATAATGTTATCAAATGGTAGATTAAACATAGACTTTTGTTAGGCTTTAGAACAAGCATTGTTTAAATTACAGTACTGCCTGTGAAGTATATAAGTTGCCCATGTTTCTTTAGGCCAAAATGTTGCTTAAGGAAAAACGTAAGAATTAAGGGTACAATAATACACTGTCAGCGTTTACCCTCTCTGACAGCATGAGAAATGCTTAATTACTGTGATAGAGATACTAGCCTTAGATTTTAACAAATGTATTCAGCTGCAAGATGCTCCTCTGATCCCACTCTGGTGAACCTGCCTTACAATGCTGTGCCCTACACTCAAATTCCTTTTTTTGTTTTGTTTTGTTTTGTTTTTGTTGACAGCATTTCAGGAGCAACTGCTGTGATAAAGGTTGTTGTTATCTAAAACGAAGCAGAGGCATATATTAATGCCAAAGTCCCTTAGTGGGCAAAGAGCATTAACAAATCAACCCAAATAGTTTAAAGACATTCTGCCACACCGTTTTTAACCTCTTCTGTTGGAATATTCCCTTTCTTTCACTAGAGGGCACTATTAAACAGAGAATACTATATTTTAGTTTGTGGGTTAGAAAAGAGACTTCTGTGCCCAGTTCAAGAAATCCTGAGAGAAATGCAGTTTTCAGTAACTGACTTTAATTTTTTTTTTTTTTTTAACCTGTACTGTCACTTTACCATCCTTATTTTTCTCCACTGGGAAAAAACACTAGAATCATGTCAGCCAAACATCAGACCTATTTCACTGCTTCATGAATGTAAACTCAGCCTCAAAAAAAAAAAACCCCCAAAAAACAAAAAAACAACAAAACCAAACTAAACTCAAACAAAAAACACCTAATAAAATAACACTGGTGTCAAAAGGCATAGAGTGGACAGAACAGTGGTTAAAGGGAATTTCATCTACAGAAGTGGAGATGGCTTTCATTTTAATTGTGAACGTAGCTAATCCTTTGCTCCTGAAAGTCTCTCTTCCAAGATTCAGAGAATGAAAATTAGCAAGACACTTTCATAGTTTTATCTTAAAACTGATGCCTTTTCTATTAAAAAAACAAACAAGCAAACAACGAAGAACAAGACAAACCTTTCTATCTTTTGACAAATACTAAATGCAAGAAATATCAGTCTAAACAGTTGTGAAATGAGAGCTACTGAGTGCAGGTCTCAAGAAACCTATAAATTTGACTTCTTTACAGCAGATTTCTTTATCCCACTGGTAATAGCTTGCAGTATGAAATACCTTTATTTTAGAAACCATTTTGTGGTCTGCTGTATTTGTCTGCTTGCAGAACATGGGGGAAAATCCACATGCTACAACCCTTAGACCTCTTCTAAGAAATGTAATAATGTTTCTCGATACAGAAAAGTGAGGTGATGACCTAAGGCATGTATTATTGAAAACAAGATGGGATTTTTCCAGCACTGTCCATCTGGTGTATTTCATAACACAGTGTTAATATAACTAAATGTGTAGAAGACCAGACACAAAAACAGCAGCTTTAGGGAATGCAATAATGAAACTGTTTCACCAGTTTTTGTTCTGCTGGAGACAGTTGGATTACAATAGATGCCTGATGGCCAGGGCACAGCGGTGCCAAAGAAGACAAATAGATAAGGAAAATACACAGATTGAGAACAGTGCTTAGGAATGCTGATGCTTAGTTCAATAGATTCAAAGCTGAAGAAGGCATGGAGTTAAAGGACTATGGAGAAGTCCTTTAAAAATGTTTAATTTAAAAATGTGTTACTTTGCAAGCAATTTTTGGAAGGGGCTTCTTGTGCATAAGTACTACATTTCTTGTAGATCAGTATGAGTGCCAAAGTGAGGTTTGTGTTTGGACTTCTAGCAGGGGATTGAACTGGTTTATCTCCAGTGGTTCCTCCCAACGCCTATGGTTCTGTGATTCCTACTTCAGATGCTGAACATGCTAATTGCTATGCTCTTTCCCTTTCTTGTTCCTTACTGGATCTTGTAGAATACCAACATGTGATTTGTGAAGAATTTGTTAACTCCAAAACTTGTGAAACTGTTCAAACTCAAAGCAAACTGAAGTACTGAAACTGAGGCTGGATGTGGGAGTGCTGCCGGATGTTCCCACAGTGTGTTACTTAGTGCATATTGTGGTCTTCACAGCTGCCAGTGAAGAGGACTGTTGGTGCAAAAATGCTAAGCTCTCTCCTTGCGCTACATTGCAAAGCAGTATGGTGAGAAACTGCTCATTGGCCCCAGAATACAACTCTGTGATAGTCTACAAGCAAAGAATATGTGTATTTTCTTACTTCTCCCCTTTTAGCATAGTTATGTACTGTGCTATAAGGGGACAATGTAAACCCCCAGCTGATATTTTCTGGACCGTTTATTGAAAATGAGCATCCAGGCCCTTTGACTTCCCATCAGATCTCAGCTGGGTGGTCTGTTCTGTTTCTCTTAATGGTGTTTGTGACTCTAGGGCACAGATAAAGTAAAAAGTAACGGCACGACAAGAAAAAAATAAGGGGGAGGTGTGAATGAGACAGTTCGTAGTACCCTTTTTAAGTGGGTCACCAGGTTAGACAAGAATCATAAGAACATGAAATGTTACTTGAATACTTTATCACTTTACATACAAGATTATTTAAATGATAGAGTTCTTGGTTCTGTACATGAAAATCCATATAAATGCTCTTGCTTGACCTGTGCATTTCCTGTGCTCCTTGTGCTCAATTTAGCATGTGATGTTTGGGCAGCGTCACACTGAATAATACATGTGTCTTTTAATAGCATTCTTGTGCTTTTTTTTTGTGTAGGCTCTGCCAGAAGCCAGTCAGAGCTGATGCTTGGCCTGTGCGCTTGTGACAAGAGCAGAGACTGGTATGTGGGACTTGATTGCATGTGGGGCTTTGTTGAAATGCTACTTGCAAAGAGCAAGTGACACAGCCATCATGGGTGCCATGATTAGAGAATAATGCCCTTCTGTGTCTTCTCTTAGCTAAGCAACTATTCTATATATGTACATTAAAAAAACCTGCTGAAGCAGCAACAGAAGGCATTGAGGAGAACTGAGGGTAATGTGAGACCATCAGCCTGTTTTGATTTTACCTATTTTACAGGCATAGGAGCTCACTGTCATAGTTGGCACCAGTTACATCTGTTCTCTTTCCAGTTTCCTCGCATCTTTTTTTCTTTCTTTTGGTTTATAATGTAGTCATTAGAAGTGTAATTTGGAGCTGTTTACTTATGTTTTCTTCTCTTAAATAACACTGATTTGTAATGATGTTAACTGCAGAGAAATGTTAGCCTTCATCTAGAAGTCAAGTATTTTCAAAAGGCATTTCCTCCTAAGCTCTCAAGGCAGAATCACAGAATCACCAAGGTTGGAAAAGACCTTCAAGATCATTCAGTCCAACCATCCACCTATCACCAATAGTTCTCACTGAACCATGTCCCTCACCACAACATCCAAACACTCCTTGAACACCTCCAGGGTCGGTGACTCCACCACCTCCCTGGGCAGCCCATTCCAGTGCCTGACCACTCTTTCAGAAAAGTAGTATTTCCTAATGTCCAGCCTAAATCTCCCCCGGTGCAGCTTGAAGCAGTACCAGCTCACTTACTGTGTGGCAGCCCCCATCCCTTACCTGTACTTGATGTGAGATGAGAAAGACAGGGATAACTTTCTATTACAAATCTAGCTGCAGGATGAGAAGAGAGGAGAAAAACTTAGATGCCAGATATATATAATTGGATGCTTGCCACTGCAGCCTCTGCAGTGTAGGCCACATGCCAATTCCCCTTAGCCTGGTAAGGCAATTGATTAAATAAAGTTAACCACTGTATAATTCTAAACTTTCACTCTTGCTGGCTCCATTTCTCCATTTTATCTAATTTCTTTCCTTCCAGAAGATGCTGCTACAGCTACTCATAGTGTTGCTGACTATGAAAGTGACAGAAATAGCTTTTTTTTTTTCTTTTTCTTTTTTTTTTTTCCCCCTTATTTAGAGTGATAGGACAGGAAAGTGTATTTGCCTAGGACATTTTGCCCTAATAGAAATCCTATACAGTTACAGTACATTTTACCCTCCCACTCATATTTTCTAACCACCATTTAACTGGGTACCAACCTGATTTGAATGGCTGGGAGAGCAGGTGATAATACCCATGAGGTTGTGCAGCCCAACAACTAGCAAGGAGCTAATATTCCCACAGTCTTCTGGTAGTTCTTGTTTGGTGAAAGTGGAGAAATTGACCTTGAATTTTCCAGAACTTTGAGGTGGATCTGCTTAAAACTCTTTCTTCTAGTGAGTTCTGAAAAGGCTACATTTTCTTTTTAAACTGAAGGCAAGTGAGATGATCAGAATATGAATTAGAATAGTTACTTTATTGTTGTTGTTCAAATAATGAAAGCTGAAGATGACTAGAGATGGAATAGAAACAAATGTACATACTTAATTTTCCTTTTGCCTCTCTGTCATTGCAGTTGGATTCTTATTTCCTTCTTCCTTTCCAGAAGCTCAGTAGCTTCCTGGGTAGCAGAAAATTGTGGACAGTCTTCTCCAATCCATGGAAAGTTTATTTTCTTTACTATAGGGACTGGAGTGTCAGTTGCTTTCTTCTCTCAGTGGTCTCTTTTCTTGGGCTCTTTGTAGGCACCCACTTCTTTGCTAAGCTCCTTCTCCTCTTCTTGTGGCACCTCTGGAACTTTCTGTTTCTCACTGGTAATAGCACAGACAAAATAAGTGGAGATACACAGAATAGATTAAGTCCTGAATCAGAATTGTCTAAATTCTGCAAAAAACACCCACTCAGAAATGTATTGAGGTCATTCTTGCCTGGTGATAACTTCTTTGGCTCCCTGCCATGGCTACAGTAAGTCTTCTGCATTCTACACAGAAACTCTTTGCATTCTTCCAGGCCTTGATACCAAAAGCTGTTTTAGATGGTTCCCTCAGTCCCTCTGGTAAGATTTTTTTTTTAGTCTTAGTCTTAAGACTATTTTATGAGTTATTTTTCTGATTTTTCTGTCCTCATTTCTTTTGCTTTTGAAACGTCTCCTGAAAATTTACCTAAGCTAAAGGAATTTTTCAATCATTTTTGTACTGTTCTTAGAACATATAATTATTCCTGCTGTGAAACTCAGTACTTGCTATCAAACATTAGCTAACAGAGTGACATTTTTAGTAGTTGCATGTGGCCACCTACTGCTGTTCTGAGTCCCTAAATCTGTTGCTGAGTGTACAGGAATATTTTGATATTGATTGCAACTATACTAAGAAAGAAATGAGTGCTGATGGGAACACTGTAGTGAGACTTTTTTTTTTTTAATGGCTATTTCTAATTGAGAAAGTAGGAAATGGGAAACAAAAATTATCTTTATAGAAAGGGTGTGTGTTTCAAATAAGTAATGATAAACACAATTAAGTGTAATTTATTTTTTGGTCTTGGTATTCTCTGCACAAAAGTCTTCCTGTGTGTAAGTGGAACTCTGAGCTCAATTTTATGTCTAATATTTGAAGATTTTTTTATTAACAGTTTTAGAGTTGTAGAATTTGATCTTATCACTGCTCCATAACCCACTCAATTCATGTTTTTAATACAGATACTACTGTCAGAAATCTTGGGACTCAAATTTAGAGTGTGATCTCATCTAGAACTTATGTTTGTCTATCAAGTAAAAGATTGAACCCATCTCTCGTTTGCAATGTAGGCTTAGATCTGTTCCTTTGATTTGGTCCTGGTCTACATTTGCATGTATACATACTTAAGATAAACCTGGTAATTATCCCTCTTGGCTGATTATTTTGGGGATGATGATGCGAAAGTCATAAGCATTCACTTCTGTGGTGTTATCCCACTCCACCTCCTCGCCATGTGTTGAATTGCTATGGTATTTTTATTTGTCTCTTGTCTAGTTCTCTTCAGCTTTCTCTTTTCTCACCATGGACTAAGAAGCTTGTAAGAACTGTATCTTTTTTATTTTCTCCTTTCTCTCTCTCTCTCTTTTTTTTTTTTTTTTTTTTTCCCTTCTAACTGAATGTGTGTGAGTGAAATGAGAGAAGAGCACTGGGCTGCTTTCTTTGCGTTGGTGTTTACTATGAGTCATAACAACAGCTTGGTACTCTCGAAAACTTTTCTTGTGGGAGAATCAACAGCATGGGTGCAGCTGAAGAAACAGCAGAATGTACTGTACATGCAGTTCTCTGACTCAAAGAGAAAATGGTGGATGATGGGAGTGCATTTTAATGGAGGTTTACCCTTAACTCATGCTATGGATATATTTCTGCTAAGGAAGGAAACCTGATTGCTCAAGGTTTGCATTGAAACTGGACTTGCTGGGGGTTATTTTGGTAATAGATGACTTTTCATAGAACTGCTAAAATAAACAGTGTGAGAAGTCTAGAAGGATTATTTCTACATTAGCAGTACATAAAAGCTAAAAATAAGACGATATATTCATAATGCTTCTCTCCAGTTATTCTGAAATTACCCTGATTCAGAATATTAAAGACCGATTTAATTCTTATGCTTTGTGTTTCTATGACCCCAAACTACTCACAGTTTCTTACACTTAGCTCAGAAACGAGGTCCTGAATTGATACAGAAGTGAACATTTATTGGGATCTTAAATGATTGGTTATAAACGAAAAGAAGACTATATTGTCCTGATTTCTAGTTGAATGATCAACTTTGTAATACTCTGTCCCATTTTAAATGACTGAAACAAGCTGTAAGAGGCAATATTCAGCCATACAGCTGAAAGCCCATTTACCATGGTAATAAATGAGACTCCACATCACTTTCTTGATGCAAAGCGCTCTTGAACAATAATATCACAACTTGTCTGTTTTCAGAAGACTTAATGGTGCTAATTATAGCTTCCAGGCTTGGCTCCAGTTCCAACACTCAGTTCAGAACACAGGGAAAGCAACAGATGCTAAGACATGATGTTGGGGTACTAGGGTGAGGTTAGCATACAGTTCATGTGACTTGAGACATAATACATCCAGATAAAGTAGAAGGACATAGCGAAGTGGTTCCAATTACTCATCATGACCTGCAATTTCCTAGGTAAAATTAAAAAAAAGAAAACAACTTGAACAAAGCTTGCCTACATATAGTCAGAAAATATGTTCTCTAGACAAATAGTTTCAGTGATCAGCTTTGCTGGATGGTCAGCATTTACCAGTTTTCCACAAGCCATGCCATTTGACAGGTAGTAATTTTACAGGTGAATAATGATGCTGATTGCTAGTAAATCCCAGGTATTCTTAAATTACAAATGAGCATGCTAGACATTATGCAAGGAGATGGGGACTACACTTGACATAATAAAGATTCTTCCAAATTAATGACTGTGCAACCAATCTACCTTTGTACTGAAAATATTAACTAGGAATAGGAAGGAGTTTGTTGCAGTACAATTGTAGTATGTTATGGAAGTGCAAAATTCCACAATTCTCACATAGCACGTGAGAAATGGCTCCCTGTCAAAGAAGAAATAGCCATGATGCTTACAGAGGCAAAGGCAAAATAACTGCACAAACTTGCACAAAGCTGATGTTAAAAGTATATATAAAATTAGAACTATTTTGTGTTTGTACCAGTAGAATCATTATGGGAATCTGGCATTGCCAGTTTTAAGCAAGAATCTGTCTGGAAAATTGGCCTAGAATATACTGTTATTAAAATCTGTTTTCAGTAATACAGCGAACGAGAGCTAGGACTAGAAATGCTGTTGACTGAATTTCTATGGGCTGTGTATGTTTCACAGTTAGATGTCACTTTAGAAAAAAAAGAGCTGAGATAAGTATAGTATCAAGTTCTGAGTCAAAAGGCAATTATACTGATACCAGAGTCACACCTGAGTGTGACTG